TTCCATGTGGCAGTTCTTGGTTATGTTTCACAGATGCAAAAACTGAGTTCTCCATAGATAAAAAGGCTTTTCCAAGATGGGGCTAGGAAGGTGCTCAGTGGTAGAGTGCTTGTCTTGCATGCATGAGGCCCTGGGTTCGATTCCTCAGCACCACATAAGCAAAAAGAAAAAAGCTGGAAGTGGCGCTGTGGCTCAAGTGATAGAGCGCTAGCCTTGAGCTGAAGAGCTGAGGGACAGCGCCCAGGCCCAGGGTTCAGGCCCAACGACCGGAACCCTCCCTCCCCCCGCAAAAAAAACCAAAACAAAAAAGGCTTGTCCAAGAATTGAAAGGGTATACCAGGCAGGTACCTTGTTCTTGAAGGAATGAACTCTTTGTGGCTGCTCTGAGGGCTGCCCATCCCAACTAATGTGTGTGTGTGTGTGTGTGTGTGTGTGTGTGTGTGTGTGTGTGTTTGCTATGTACGGTAACAAATTCAGAGATTCTTGGAATTAAGGTGGTCATCTTTGGGAGGCTGTTTTTCTGCCTACCAAAGAACAGATTTCATCTAAAAATAGGAAAAAAATGTAAAAATTGCCTTCTAAGCACATTGTATTTCTTTAGGGTATTCAAGTGAATTTTGAGAGAAACCTATATAGCACATTATAGAAAGGACTGACACATCAGAATGAGCTTCATAGGGAACCTGTGCTGAGCTTAGATGAGGGTATACAAGATTTGTGATTTAGCATGAGACATTTAAATAAATTCTGTTTACTGTGTTATAAACTGTAGATATCAGGTCCCATATATCATTGCTTTTTTTTCTTCAATGTAGTCAATCATGTAGTTTGGTACATGTGTGATGTATATTTAATTAATTCATTGAGTTAAATAGGCTGAGCCCATTATCCCAGTTGATAAGGCAAGGTGTAGGAGCACATCTCATACTCACTTTAAAAGGTAAATGCCAGCCGTCAATTTGGACTCCTTTAGCAATCAATACATTTCATATCCACAGTCGGGAATTACACAAAGCTTTAAAGGCTCCAAAACCTGCTTTAGATTGCCCAGACATACAGTTCTAATTCTGGCAAAGGACTCAAAATACTGTGTAGGATATTACATCATTTCTGGAAGCATCTAGGACTTCGTAAATAACAGTCACTGGGAAAATATGTTCTGTCATTGAATGGAAGCATCATAACTGAAATCATCACCAGTATTGATCGTGTGAGATTCTACTGAAAGCCAGGAGCCATTTAAGAGGCTGCTGCTTTGATCCTATGATTTCTGACCCCCACCATTGCAGCAGAAGCAAGTAGAGGTTTGGTTGGAGATAATGACTGTGGATTCCTAGTTGGCCTTCAGATATTTTAGAAAGGAAGAGAAGCAATCACTGGCTTTATTTCTTCCCTCCTTTGGCTTAAGAGTCCCATGGAAAGTCCATTGCTATTAATTTGTTTTCTTTGACTGTTAATATATTTGAGAAAGGATTAAAAGGAAATACTGTACTAGAATAGTAAAATAAAGAGACTTTGCAGAGCTCGCCAGAGATCTGAAGTTTGCCCAGGACCTCAGGGACCAGTACAGCCCAGCAGTCGAGTTTTATTATATGTGTAATTTCCCCAAATGATGCCTTCTTTGATTCTTTACAGTAAATGTGAAATTGACTTCAGATTTTAGGCTCCTGAATGTATTTTTAAAGGCATTTTAATCTTTGTTGGGTGATAAAGGCCTTTGCAGACTGACTATTAGGCACACGTCAGCACACGTTTCAGTGGTTCTTTCTATTTTGAATTTCCCTGAATGTGTTTTCTTTGATCTTTCCACTTTGTACTTAAGAGTTGAAGTCCTTCTATAAAACAAGCAGACAATTTCTCTTGATGTGGATTTGGGTAAAAGTGGTTCAGGGTGATGTTTTTTTCCCAATTTTTTTCCCTTCTATTTCCAACCAATATGCTTCAGCAATGGAGGTCACCTATAAACAATGGGAAAGATTGTCTAAGGAGCCCCCTGATACCTTTTGAACAGAAATGAGGAATACATAAATGTAAGGAAATAAGAATGCTGTTTTTCTTTTCTTCCTTTTTTTTTTTTTTTTTTGTTAAGTGACACCGGAGGTTTTTTTTAAAGTGACACACTTGCTAGGCAAGTGCTTTGATGATAAGCCATGCCTCCAGCCTTATTTGTTCCTGATTTTTTTTTGGGGGGGGGTCCGGTCATGGGGCCTGAACTCTGGGCCTGGATGCTGTCCCTCAGCTCTTCAGCTCAAGGCTAGCACTCTACCACTTGAGCCACAGCGCCACTTCTGGCTTTTTTGCTTTTTGCTTATGTGGTGCTGAGGAATTGAACCCAGGGCCTCAGGCATGCAAGGCAAGTGCTCTACCACTAAGCCACCTTCTTAGCCTCCTGATTATTTTTGAGATAGGGTCTTACTGCCTCCCCAAGCACAAACCTAGATGACAATCTACCAGTTTTAGGCTTCTCATCATAGCTGGATGACAGGTGTACACAGTTAGATTCTTAGCTTCTGTTGAGATGGAGTTTCACGAACTGTTTTCTGCCTGAGCTTGCCTGGAAACTTGATCCTCTCTATCCTACCTTCTCATATAGTTAGCCTGACAGGTATGAGCCACAAGTACCTGGCTAAGAATGTTTTAAACAGAAAACAACACAGAACAATTACAATGCCTGGAAATACTAGACTATGCCATGTTTTTCCTGTCTCACCACCTGGCTCTCCCTTGATCCTGAGCCATTGTTTGGTATTGTTAAATATACACACATTTTTCTTTTTTCTTTTTTGCATATCATTCTTCCCTTCTAAGTTGCATTTCTTTTTTTTGAAATTGTCTTTAGAAAGACCTAAAGTTGATTGTCCATTGGTTATAAACTCTTCTTTAAAGAGAGATTATGAATACAATGCATGTTTTCATAAATTGTTTTGTTAAATAGCAACTCCTTTGTACAACTACTTAAAGATAATAAAGAGATTTAATTAAGCAACCTTTGCTAATAAAAAAGAAAAATTATATTGTTTTACTCCGAGTTTTAAATCCTAGTTTAGTTGCTTTATAAACAAAATGAGTTTGAAGATACCTTGTATTATCTTCAATTGGTGTGGTGAGAAGTTGGCTCTCTGTCTTGTCATTCTTGAAACCTATCTTGTCTTTTATTTCCTGGTTGCTTTTAAGAGTAACTTGGCTTCATTGAGTTTTCATTTGGATCCATTTAGCTTATTCTGCATAAAGCTCATCTTACTTCCTGAGTCTAAGGATTTTTGTTTTGGATCAATTCTGTATGTCTATTATTTTTTTGGAACATTCACTTTTCCCCATCCTCTTTCTGGTCTTTCCTGGAAATGTATTTGTTAGACTTCCTCATCTTGTTATCTGTGTTGCTTAACCTCCCATTCATAATCTCCAGGCCTTTAACTTTTTGTCTTGCATTATGTATAATTTTCTCATATTTGTCATCCAAATTTATTAACCTTTACTCCAAATACATTTTCTTAAGTGGTTGTATATTGAGTTTTGCATTTGTTGAGATTTCTAAAAGTAATGTCTGGATTTTTAACAACCTTTTTGTTCCCTTACAACTTAAAGAAATGTCTTCTTTGATGCCACCAATCATTTTAAACTTAATTGACAGTTTTTAATCAGAAATTCTTAAAATTAAATCCCTTTGACCTTGCATTGTCTTCTCATGATTGATCATGCTTTAAGTTTCATCCTTTGAGTTCATCTTTGACTAAGCTTGTGAGAACACTATTGCAGGGCATGGGTTTTGGCCATGTTCCCCCTAGAACAGATTTTCATTTGCTTTTCCATGTATTGGGATGGTTCATCCTAGCTCCAGTTGCTAAGCTAATATCTTAGCGTGACTATTCCCAAAACATGACTAGAGTCTAGAGAAAGATCTGAAACTTGAATTACTGTGTAGTACAAGCTCAGAGTGCACATCCTCAGGGACAACTTTATTTTCCATCCCAAACCCAAAACCAAACCTGCACAAAGGAATTCACTTCTTTTTCTTTATGGAACTGGTAGGCAATTAAAATAATCTTCCCATTTTTTCTGAACCTCAGAAGATTTCTCTTCCTCTCCTGTGATCTCAGAAAAAAATGTTCATTCTCTTTTTGTTTAAAATTCAGTAGCAAGGACTTTTGAGGAAGTTAAATATTCTATGTTGCCAGAAGCCAAAATCTTTGTTCTGTATTTAAAATGATCGGATATTCTCTAATGTAGAATGATTTCCGTGTACCAATTTTTGCAAGGGATTTTAAAGTCTGACCCATTTGAAGATTAACAAGTCTATTGAATTATCTAAATTGCTTCATTCTCTGAAAGTACCCAGATGCTATTCTTTCTAGATTTGTATTGGGATTTTTTTGAGACCATGTCCTTTAAATAAGAAATTCTGTATGAAAATCTGGAATGCCAGGAGGCTGGAATATTAATAGCAGGGGGTATTTGTGCGTTTATCACAGTTCTTAGAAACAAGTAACAGAAACTCAACTTCTCTTGAACTTAAACTAAAAAAGAGATATATATTAACTCAGAGAATGGAAAAACCATGAGGTTTATCGCTAAAGTGTAGGTAGATTTTCATGCTTAGGAAAGGTAATTAATGTCTGTCTCTTAACCTCTAGCTTCTTCTTCTAGTTAGTTTCATCCTTATTTGCATTCTCTCTTTCTGGTGGCAAGATGTTATCCAACATCCTCAGTGAAAGAGGGCTTCTTCTCTTTGCCAGTCTAGCAAATGTGGGGCTGTGGCATGTGGCTTCTGTCACCTCTCCATCACTGACCAACCACTTGGCTGGGAGGGGAAAGGAGGACCTGATCCCTAGAGGTGTAAGTAGGGTCTGCTATGGTTAAAACTGTGTAGGCTGAGTGAGGATAGAGAAGGGTAATTTTCTGAAGAAAAAGAAAAAGAAAAATCTGGAATCTGGGTAAGCAAAACACAACAAATGTTTCAGTCATTTATCTAATTTTTTGTTTCTGTTTGCCCTTCATTTCAGGATAGTGTTGAATTTAGAAACATCTGCAGTCATTTGGCTCTACAAATAGAAGGGCAGCAGTTTGACAGAGACTTGAACGCTGCCCACCAGTGTTTGAAGACCATAGTCAAGAAGCTGATTCAGTCGCTTGCGAATCTCCCTTCCGATGCCCATGTGGTCGCCTGTGCTTCCTTGAGACAGATCTTACAAAATCTCCCAGACACATGAATGTGAAAGACATCAGGATTAAAGTGACCCCTGGTACTGCTAAACGAACTGGATACCCTACCTTCCTAATGGAATTGGCAGACAATGGATGTTTTTATTCTCCAAAAGGAGATGTTTAGAGCACAGGTAGCAGTCCAAACAGTGACACTTGTAGCCTCCAGAACTATAGCATGCTAGTGAAAACATTTTAAAGCTGTAGTTCACATTTTTATGTATGTTGACCTCTGTTTGCTGGCATTTTGATTGAAATATAGTCCATTTCATGGAACTGATTGGATCATATATGTACATACTTATTAATTCATAGTATTGGTTTTAATTGAATGATGCCTTCATCTACATTCATACTAATGTAGGCTGTAAAATTTAATCTGGTTATTTGTATGGTTGAAGCCTCCAGAGTTCTTTTAAATGATTTGAGTAAATGAGACATCTGATAATTGACATGTTTTATTTGTTGGACACTCTAGGCTATGAAAATGATTTCTGGTTGTAGGATCATGTGTCAGTAATTATGAGATCCAATCTTGGCAGTAATAAATTTACTGCTGAACAGAAGCATTGCTTCTAAATTGTGCTTTCATATATTTATAAATTTAAAATGATAATGAGCTATAAAATACCAAGGCTATGTGATATGTAAATACAAAGCACAGTATTATTAAAGTCTCATGTGGAATGTTCTAGCTCTTCTTATGTTTCTAAATATTCCAATTGAAGTAGCAAAAGGTGATGACAAAAAGCTGTGGGTGGCTATACTGCCACATTTTCTTGAACATTTTAGATTCTTAGAACTGGGAAAGGACAATTTTATTTTTATTGCTATTTTCAACAGTGATCTACACATTTTTAGGAAAAGCTACTTCCTATTGTTCCATAAGATTGTTTTGAGAACCAAAATAAAGTGGAAGGTTACTTCTCCCTTAAAAGTTTATAATAGAGCCAGGTGTTGGTGGCTTATGCCTGTAAACCTAGCTACTCAGGAGGCTTGATCCTGAAGGATCACAGTTTGAAGGCAACACAACCAGAAAAGTCCAAGAGACACTGTTTCCAAAAATAATAATTGAAAAGCAGGGCTGGAGGCACATAGCTCAACTGGTAGAGTGCTAGTTGAATAGGCATGCTGAGTGAGCATGTGTTTCAGTTCAAGCAGCAATGACCCATATTAATATATACACAACATATTTCTAATGTATTATATATTAGAACCAATATCATAATTAGGGTGGCAGGAAGCGGGAGATTAAATTTCTGTGAGCATCTTATTCTCTAAAAGAATTATAAACTGGGCTTATGTGGTGGGACTAGATCTTCTATCTTTAAAAAGTGCTAGTAGTAACCAAGGGCTTTTAATCCCACATATTGTGATATTAGTAGTTTTCAAATAGTTGCTTCCAGAATATGAGAATGAAAGATAAATAGGTTTAAATATATATATATATATACATACACATATATATATATATATAAAATGGATAATTTCCATAGAAGAGAGTGTCTGTGAGATGAAAATTTGTTGGCAGAAGAGCTTTGGGGGAGGGGCAGGAAAAAGGCGTTTATTTCTTGGGAAGAGTCTTTGGCACTTACTTTCCCATTTCATTATATTCTGGGGGAGATGAATTTACTTTACAATCAGACCTCCCTACCTTCAGGAAATTATCTCAAAATTCGTCCTTAATGACCTGCCATAATTTATAGGCATCCTACTCACAAACCTCTTAATGACTATGAAGTTGTTTTACTCTTACCCTGCTTTTGCTTGTACTTTTTTCTAATTTTGTACCATAGTTTTCACATTGTTTCCGTAGATAAATTAAAGTCATACTCATCCTTTAAGATCTGATTTACTGTCTACTCTCTCTGTGACCTGATGGGTCATCCCGGCTGGAAATGAGTTCTAATTTGCACAGTGAACATTTGGTGCTTTATCACATACAATCATCATAGGATGGTTATTATCTTAACTGCTGTCAAGATCAGCTTGCTGAAGGCAGATGTTTTTCTGGATCTCTTTTTATGTTGTATAGAGTCTAAATTTTTGGATGTTCTTTGACCCTACTTGAATTTTCATTGCCCCTACCATTGTTTTAACCTCCTATCTGATTCTGACTCCTGTGTATTTTTGTCTTATGTCCAACTGGAATAAACTTTTGCTTGTGCATGCCAACAATTCCCTTTTCTATTTGCACAAGGGCCCTTAGTATTCTTTATTAACACTACCCAATTTCCTAGACCCAATACAGTAGCTACAGTAAGGTTTTTAAGCACTTGAAATATGGCTTGTCTGAACTGATGTACTGAAAGTGCAACACAAACTCAGTTTTTGCAAACCAAGTACTAAATGAATAAAATAACTTAAAAGACCTCAGTATTTGTAATATTTAAAGCAACATCTTGAATAAGTTGACATAAATAAAAAAAGTCTTTTGACATTAATTATACAGATCTTTTTATCTTCAATGGGGATATTGGGAAACAAGAAATTCCATGAGTGACTTGCATTATATTTCTGTGGAATAGTGTTGGCTCTAGAAAATTCAGTAGACAATCCATTGCTGTCTTTGACAATTCATTCTCTGAAGGCTGTCCCGTACTTTCTTAAACTTTATTTGTCACCTTTTCTTACTCTCAGCTGATAACTTGACTGCAGATTGCACAGTGAAAGCCATTAGAAGTACATGTTATTCATCTCCCCATTGGAACTAGCAATCCTATCCTAAATCTGCAGCCACATACTCAGTTTCCTTTCCACCCAAGGATGTTTGGCCATTTGGCTCTGGGGCCTGTCTTTCTCTCATTCTCCAACTTCCTTCTTGCATTTCTTCTTTCACCTACATAATCACCTCACCTCTCCCTAGGAGCATTTCTCTAGCAGGCTATGTTAGGAGTAGATTCAAACTTTTTTTTTTTTTTTAACAAAAGATACCATAATAGCAAGATACATTGCAATAAGTGTCCAGGTCAGTTTTCCTCAAGTCATTTTTTTCCTATTTCCTTTAGGACTCATTTTGAGTGGTTCTTATTTCCACAGCTCCACCCTAACTGCTCTTGTCAAGAACTTTGATGATGGCCTCTCTGATACACTCTATGAGTCAGTCCTCATCTCACCAGATCCTTCAGCAGCTTTGCACACAACTGATTACTCCCTTCTTGGATTGTGTTCTTATTTTGGGTTCCAGGTCAGCAGACTTTCAGAGTTTTGGTTTATTAATGGCTCATCTGGCTAAATCGTATCTCCAGATTTCTCAATTTTGGAGTCCTTCAGGACTCAGTTTTAGTCCTCTTCTCTAATAATGCTTACATCTTGACGACTTTAAATGTTATTTACCAGTAACACCCAAGAATATGTCTTCTACCTGGACTTCATATTCTTGCATTTCAAATACCTGAATTCCAAAAACCTATGCAGTATTTGAAATTTCAAAATGGAATTCTTTCCTTTTCTTTTTCACACCCATGCATTTTTTATTGTTACGAATATGATGTACAGAGAGGTTACCGTTACATAAGTTAAAGAGTACATTTTGGGGGGAGTCTGGAAGAAGACAGTGGAGGAGAAGCTGGAGGCTAACAAGCTCTCACATAGAAAGCAGTTTTAGTGTTCCAGTGAACAGTTCTAGGCTAGAGAATCACACTAAGTGTGCCATCACAGTACAGAATGTTTGGCCAGAAAGGAAAAATCCAGGCAGCTTGGTCAAGGAGACAGATCTGAGCATTTACTGGTGTCTGTGGTGGCGGCGGCTGCCATATCAACAGAAAGCCTGGGACAAAGGCGCCAGACATGGTGTGTGAGAGGATTCTACTCAGTGCCAGCCAAGAACTGACCAGGAGCAGAAATCATCCTACTGAATGCAGACCAGGGACGGCCTAGAAACCAAGAGGCTTGCGTGAGTACCCTCAAGACATCCTTACCCCTTCTCACAGAGCAGTGGTGGGAAGGTAGCCCCTCCCCCACTACCAGAGAAGTACTCTATCTTTGATACTGACAAAGGCCTGGCTGAGCAGCTAGCTCCAACTTAAGACATGGAAGAAAACAATAGGAGCCATTCACTAGGTCACAGGAACCTAACCTGACCTGCTGGGCTCAGCTCCAACCAAGGGAAAATCACCCCACCCAGGCAGAGAGAGCTCTGCCCCAGAGGAGTGACTTTCTTCACTGGGTAAAGAGAGCCAGAGGCTACCCATCCCCACTACAGCTTAGGTAGCATGCCCTGCAGCAGGATGGGTAAAAGACAAACAATTGAAACTCAGTAAACACAAATCCGGAGAATGGCTCTAGGCTGGGCTCTGTGAGTGTCTCAAGAGCTAGCCCCTCAGGGAAAAGCTACTGATTGCTGATAGGCCTCAACCCTACCCAGAACCTAGCCTTATCACAACAACTCCAAGTTAGAGGAAATAGCAATCTCCCTCTTTGGGTGATACTCAAAGCAGATCTCCCTCCCACTGATCTAGCCTGGGAGGAGAATCACAAAGTCCTGGGTAAGGCAGACTATTTTTCTGCCTGCTCAAACAAACTGACTTAAGAAACCAATCAAGCCAAAGGAAAACCAAACACCACAAGCAAACCGGAGACTTTACCAAGACACTGGTTATGGACACAGGAGAGATCCAAGATCTCCCCCCTCCCCCCTCGGCAAAAAAAATCAAGTAACACATTTTTCTACCTAATTTTTTAATTTTTTTAAAAAAAGTTTTCTATTTTTTTCTTTTATAATTTTTATTTTAGGGGTGTGTGTGTGTGTGTGTGTGTGTGTGTGTGTGTGTGTTTTGCACGACTTAATTGCTGCTCTGTTCATCCCTAGATATATACCCATCATCAATTATTAGATCTTATCCTTCATTGTGTACATACTTAATTCAGGAATTCCTCTTTGGCTTAACTTCTTTAGGAATAGTAGTATTTCCTTATATCAATATAATTTTTAAGTATTCTATTTTTAAATATTTTATTTTTTATTTTTCATTTTTATCTCTTCCCTCCTCTCATCCTATCCTTTTTT